TCCATCTGCTTCTGCAGCTGCTCCAGCGTAGAATCGCTGTTGACGCGACAGTAGCTCGAACCGGACATTGCTCTTGGGACATCCTCGGGTGGCTCCACCTGTGCCATAGGAAGTGGAGATCGAGGGCTGTCCATGGCTGTAGAAGACTTGGGGGCACTGGGATCGTCGACCTAGGCCTGATGCTCAAACTAGCATCAATCAAGCCACAGCCATTTGGGGGTTTCCGAAAGTAGGGGACCCCAATATAGTACCCTAAATAGTAGGATCATTATTCTAAGGATCCCAACATAAGGTACCCTAATTTTCCGAAACTCCCATTTGTCAAAGATGCGTTGCAGGCTTGAGGGACCGAAGGGCCGGAAGCCTCAAACACCTAGCCTGTACGTTCTCCAGGAACATCCAAGAACCGAAGAGAAAACACATCCCACAAGTACAACCAGTAGAGGTAGTAGAGGTAGTAGAGGTAGTAGAGGTAGTAGAGGTAGTAGAGGTAGTAGAGGTAGTAGTAGTAGTAGTAGTAGTAGTAGTAGTAGGAGTAGCAGTAGCAGTAGCAGTAGCAGCAGCAACAGGAGGAGGAGGCAGGAGCAGTGGCAGTAGTAGCAGATGTTGTCGTTATTGTTGCGGAAGTAGTGGTAGCAGTGTTAATGGATTCGAACAGAACAGACTTTACAACTTTTGTCGGCACCCACAGGCCAATACGCAGTGGTCATAAACCCCAAAACCGAAAACCTAACGCGGACCGAAGCCTTCAAGCCCTCCCTATACATCCTGACCCGAATTCAGAAACACCCTACAGTTTTTTAACACAGGGGACTCGACTGGATCACGCTACAGTAAACCCTAAAATCCTTTTTTGAACCCAAACCCTAAAATCCTAAGCCATGAACTCTCCAGCCTCTCTCTCGCTCTCTCTCTCTCTCTCTCTCTCTCTCTCTCTCGCTCATGGACTCAGTCACATGTCAGCCGGGACGCAAAACACAGCGACTTCGCTATGTGCGCGTACCGAAAACCCTAAACCCTTTTCAACCGGCTTCCCTAAACCCTAAACCAAAGGGTTTCGACCGGCAAGGCTCCGCATGGTTTAGGGTTTAGGGTTTAGGGGCCCGAAACCTTCAACCCTAAACCCTAAAACAAAAAAATACCAGGCCTCTGCACGGACGTCTGCCGGTACTCCCTTCCTGGCCCGGCGGCGGAAATCCTCCGGGCGCTGCTGTAGAAATGCCCGGATGCCTGTCTAGGTGCAGGGTAGGGGCTTTTGACACTCAGACTCGGACAAGCCTGGCAAGGGTAGGGTTTAGGGTTTAGGGTGAACTCGGCAAGCCTGCGGAACAAGAAGGGTTTAAGGGTTTCAGGTTTCGGGTTTCAGGTTTTGTGGGGTTTGCTGCTGAGGATGCAAGGATTGGGGTTTGGGGGGCCCTGAGACTCAGGGCCCAGAGTAGGTTTAGGTGAGAAACTGTGGGTAGTCGGCCAAGGCATCAGGAACGCTCGAGTTGTGAAGGGTAGAATAGGGTTCCTTAAAGGGTTCCTTTAAGGGTTCTATAAGCGCTACTATAAGGGTTTAGGGTTTAGGGGCCTTAATACTTAGAATAGGTTTTTGGTTGAGTAGCAAGCTTAGTGTTTCAAAGATGGGATCAGGATGTAGTTGTTCAGTTTCGAACCTTAGCAAGCTTCAGACTAAGGATTGCGGCGCTAAATCAAGACCTGAGGCTTGGGTCGTCGAGCTTTCGCTGCGCTAGTATTGACAGCTTGGGGCACTAGCACCTCCGCAGCGTCGCGCTTGGCTCAAGGGTGGTTGGTGCTGTTTCTGAAGTCGGAGTCAGTGGCGAGGGCCAGAAAGGCGGCCGGGGATATGGACCGAGGCAGTATTGAAGAGAAGTCGGCCGTCGATGATACAGGCCCAAAGCTCTCTCACTGAGAAACCGAACACGACCCTTACACCCCTCGTCGAGAAATCACGGACGACAGTATGCAAGACGTGCAACCCCAAGATCCTCAAATCGGGACCCGAAAAACCAAGATTAATGCAGGGGCCTTAATAATTAGAATAGGGTTTTGGGGCCCATTAGACTATAATTATTATACATGATAGTTTTCAGTCTAATAAGGAACCCTGCCAAAAAATAGTATTGCTAATTATTTAGCCCCCTACATTATCTTATCGCGTTTCGGGTGCCTCTCTGCTGCATGCTCGTCCACATGCGCTGTCGTCGGACCTTATCATCTGCCATCTCTGCATCGCCAGCCGCCCACTCGCCAAATGTGTTGTGTCGAGGCTTTGGGTTTAGGGTTTAGGGTTTAGACAGGAGTTGATGTCTGCTGACGGGTTTGGGATCCTGCCGTGTTACCTTCGCCTTTCTTTAGGCTGCAAAAGGGGATGGCTTGATCTGGCTCTTCTTGCAGGCTCAAACTGTGAGCGCTGAGTGCAGACTGCAGTGAGCCACGACAGTTGATGGATCTGCATGCCACCCATGTGGAAAGGAGCACATCACAACGGAGTCTATGTCATGGGCACAACATTGGACATGCTGCCTGTGTGTACTTCCAGTATTCCGATAAGCGATACCAGACTGCAAGCACATGCGCATCTGTGCATGTAAGTACGTGTGTACGTAGGCATGCATGCGTGTACAGACAGACAGAAAGACAGACAGACGAACAGACAGACAGACAGACAGACAGATAGATGGATTGATGGACAGATAGACAGACAGACAGACAGACAGACAGGCAGGCAGGCAGGCAGGCAGGCAGGCAGGCAGGCAGGCAGGCAGGCAGGCAGGCAGGCAGGCAGGCAGAGAGATGGATGGAAATGGTAGATAGAGATTCTTAAATGATAGATAGATGAATAAGCAAGATAGACAGAAAGAGGGATAGGTAAGCAGATACATAGATCGTTAATCAGTTAGGTAGTCAGCTAGCTAGCAGTTTGCGAGCTTTTTATGTATACGCAGACGCTTCCGTGCTGTTGCTTTACACCCGGAGGCGCAACGCAAAGCCTGCAGACCAGATCTTTTGTCGGCACAGTCAGCTTCCGAACGTAGGCTCGGGGCTCGGGATTCCCGAGGAAAAGTCCACCGCGAAGGTCAAGATTACTACGCTCTCAGGAGCTGAAAGACTCAAGGCATCAAAAGTCAAAACTCGAGACTCAGAAAGCTGTACCTGCCAGTCCCTTGTGGTCGCCGTAGGACTCCATGCGAGCCTTCCAACAGCATAGGCGACGGGAGCAGGGAATGGAAGATGTGTAAGACAACCTAAGTTACATAGTGCCACTCCCACGCCCCAACCTCCATGAACCCCAAGCCCAGAAAACATAGTTACCGTCCCCTGACTGCCTTGGGCCCCACAGCACAAATGCCACCTCACAGAGTCACAAAAACCATCGCGCACGAGCGAAAACCACCAATGCCCTACGGCACTTTGAAGTTTTTGAAGGCCCTTGGGAGGGAGACGGCGACACTGCCACCGCAAACTACAGCCCAAGGACCCCTTACTAGTGCGTATCTTTGTGCCCGCAATGCCAGGGCCTTCTTGGCAGCCGGCATGTTCCCGCCCTCCCTGTCTGCGAAGCGGGTCGCAAGGCCGTCGCAGTTGATGCCTCAGTAGTCTAGTTTCAGGGTTTTGCTTGCTTCCTGCTTCCTTGCGGGCAAGTCCCAGGGCTCAAGAATCCCCGGTGCAGCAGAATAACAAGCGCACAACCAGTAAACGACGAGGGAGGATACTCCAGCGCCGAACTTGCAGCTTGCGACAACGATTGACGAGGTATCACGACTATCCCCAACAAATCTAAGTAAGCCCTGCATGACCCCAGCATCACATAATGCCTGAACTTGGCTAAACTAGCTCTACCGCTGCTACAACAGCGTTAGCCACCGCTTCCTGCAGTGCAACAACATCAACAGCCACCTCTTGAAGGAGAGTGGCGGGACTATAACTTGAGCACAGGTTTCAGCGTCAATCGGAAGTTACGTTCGTCACATTCGTCAAGCACCCAAATTAAGTGCACGATCATGCGTTGGTGGCGGCGGGCATCATCTACCCCTGAGCCGAGACCCATGAAGTGTTTTCGAGTGGAATCAGTGCTGCGGTGCTAAGGTGAAGGCGTGCGACTTATCTTGGCATCGGACTTGTGACTTGAGCAGTTCCGCAAGGCTGTTGGCGGAGGCCAGTGTGTCTGCGTGGTCCTCACCGAGCTTGCCACGGCGCCCCTCCAAGGCCTCTCGATAGAGCGATTCCGCCTCGTTGAGGTGGCCTTGCGCCTCCAGCACCCCTGCCAACTTGTGGATCGACAGCAGCGTCGTGGGGTGCGTGTCGCTCAGCTTGGCCCGGCGCCCCTTCAACGCCTCGCGCAGCAGCGGCTCCGCTTCGTCCAGGCGGCCCTGCGACGTGAGCAGACTCGCCAGGGCATCCGCGGCGGCCAGGGCGTTGGGGTGGCCGTCGCCGAGCTTCGCACGGAGCCCTTCCAAAGCCTCTCTGTGAAGTCGCTCCGACTCCTCCAGGCAGCCCTGGGACTCCAGGAGGAATGCCAGGTTCAGGCAAGCCAAGGTGTTGGGATGCGTGGCGCCAAGCTTCGCCCGCGATGCAGCGGTTCCGCCTCTTCTAAACGGCCCTGCTTCCGCAGCAGGCTCGCGAGGTTGTTGACCATAGTCATGGTCTTGGGATCGTCATTCCCCAATTTGGCCCTGCAAACATCCAAGGCTTCTTGATACAGCGGTGCCGCCTCCTCCAAACGGCCCATACGCTGCAGGAGCGAGGCCAAGTTGTTGATACAGCTCATGGTGTCAGGATGCTCGCTGCCCATGGAAGCCCGGCATCCTTCCACCGCCTCGCGCTGCAGCAGCAGAGCTTCCTCCAGGCGTCCCTGGGTCTTTACCAACCTTGCCAAATTGCCGAGGGCGGCCAGCGTGCCAGTATGGTGCTCGCCCAACGTCTGCTTGCGAGATGCCCAGCATTCGCGGTAAAGGCTTTCGGCTTCGTCATATTGCGCACGTGCATTCAGCCTCCTGGCGAAGTCGTGCATGCAGTACAGAGTGTACTCATCGGTGTCGCCCTTTTCTTTACGGAGGTGGGCCAAACGCAATCTCAGAAGCTGAAGCAGGCTGTCGGCCTCAGCGGAGACATTGCTGACGGCCCCGGAATCGTCCGTAGCTCGGACCACCCAGACATCCCGGCTCGGATCCACTGCGCGACCCTTGTAATCCTCACCCAGTCGGACTAAGCGCTCGGGCCCACCTTCATCGCTTGCCACCGTTTTCTGCGCAAGGTCCGGCGTCTGCCTCTCAAAAATGTTGTAGGCCATGGCCTTCGGTGCCAAAATAGGGACGCAAAAGGCGGCCCGGTGGCCCGAGGAGTTGCCGTCGCCCCACTCTTGCTGCACACGCTCGGACTCCGCGTCTGCACCGCGAAGCGGGCTGCCATTGCTGTAGCTGTTCAAAAGGACCCGGAGTCTTGTTGCCCAGACGCAAGGCTCGTGCCTCGTTGCGTAGATGCCTTTGCCGAAATGGGCCCGCGAGTCCACCAAGGAAGCAAACAGCTCCCCGGCTGTTTGCTTAAGGTTTCCGATGCTCCGAAATGCTAACTCGTTCGTGTAATGGTAGAGGACTACGAGGTCCTCGCTGGAACTTCCAAGGTCACGAATGTCGAAGGCATGCTGCCACACGTGCACGGGGCCGTCGTCCGCGTCGTATCTGAATGTGCGCAGACTACCTGGGAACGTGTCCTCAGTGTACTGCGAGCCTGTGTACAAGTGACCCTGCAAGTAGGGCCCTGCGAAGTACTGCGACAGCTCTGCACGCTGCAACGCCTCACGGACTGCTGCGCTGGCACCCGCACCCATGGCGAGAAGCTGCCCCTGCCTGCTGACTCGACCAGCCGCGCACGAAACTGCACCACGTGTCGGAGGCTCAGGTTTACATGAAGCTCAGGAATGAACGGATTTAACTTGCGGGCTGTTAGGCTGTTCAGGTGTGCGATTTTAGAGTTTAGCATGTTGTTACTTCTTTGTTATTTCGTTTCGCCTGGTTTCGGAATTCGAGTCTCAATGCTTGGAGAATCTGGAGGCGGTTGAATGAGAAACAACCTGACTTTACAGCGCATGTCAAGCTCTGGACATGCAACTTCTGCAACTTAGTGGAGTTGGACGATTATTACATCGCACGCACGCTCTGCTGCTCTTACCACCACCACGACGACTACCACCACTACTACGACTAATACTACTTCTTCTTCTTCTGCTGCTACGCGCTACGAAATCAATCGAAGGTGGTTTCAATATTTGGAACTCAACATCACAGATGCTACTCATGCTAATGCTGCTGCTGCTGCTACTGCTCCTGCTGCTGCTACTGCTGCTGCTGCTGCTACTGCTGCTACTGCTGCTACTGCTACATCTACTTCTCATTACACGACAGCTGCGGAGGAAAGCAAGTAATATGAAATTTGCAGCCGATGTTCAATCCATCTTGCATGTGCCTTCGAAACCCGTCGCTTTCCACTGTCTATGTTCACCGGGCAGTGACAAATTTTGTGTGTGAATCTGCTGACTTTTGCGCAGCTACTGCGAGTGTAGACTTGTAAGACGATGTCTCCGCTTTCAAGATTCTCTGGCCCCCCAAACCCTAAACCCTAAACCCTAAACTCTCTATATAAGCCTACAGGCCCTGAATCCACCCCCAACCCGGGAATCCTCAGCCTGAACAACTCTAAAACCCTGCTTCAGTTTGATTTGTCGTGTCCCATTGGTTTGTTGGTGTCTAAAAGACTATGGCTAGTGTTCACTGGGTCTAGATTCCTCAGCCTTTCATCACTCTAGACTCCCAGGCCTACCCTACGGCCAACCTGAACTCTCAGCCTCCAAGACGAAACCCTTTTCAAGCCGCCTGAGACCCCAAAACCCTCAAGCCCCAACCCTCAAACCCTTAGGCTCTTGGCCAAAGTGGCCGGTCATGGCTTCGCCGATGTCCTCGGAAACCTCTGCGATGACCTGGCGCCGACGCAAAGCTCTCTCGAGGTTTCGGCGGTTTAGGGTTTGGGCTTAGGGTTTAGGGTTTAGGGCTTTTTAGCTTAGGGTTTAGGGTTTAGGGCTTTTTGGCTTAGGGTTTAGGGTTTAGGGCTTTTTGGCTTAGGGTTTCGGGTTTAGGGCTTTTTGGCTTAGGGTTTAGGGTTTAGGCCTTTTTGGCTTAGGGTTTAGGGTCTCGGAACTACCGAGGTTCAGGCAGACTCCGAATCAGGGAGCTCATCAGAGGCTTGATTGACAGACCAAGCCACGTACTTCGACTTACTTACTCATTTACTTTACTTTAGTTTACTTTCCTTTACTTACACACACACACACATATATATATATATATGTACATACATTTGCACCTGCACACACAGGCATATACGTACACACATACACATACACACATACTCACATACACATGTACATGTACATGTACACATATATTTTTCATGCAAACATATACATCTCTCACAAAAACATATACACAGATATGTAAATCCCGGTCCCATTTGGGGAACCCCGTATAATTCTACTCTTAATACGGCACCCTGTAGTTCGGGAGCGTCAAAGAAACCCTAAGTTTGACTGCCACCCATATACATAATCACCCACACACATGTTCTGTTAAATATATGTATATACACAACTTGACGCACGCATGCGTGCACACCTTGCCGGGCCCCACGACCTGCGCCCTGCAAGTTTCGTCGCAACCCAAGGCAAGAAGCGCAAAACCCTAATGTAGGGGCCTTAATAATTAGAATAGGGTTTTGGGGTATATTATACTATAACTATAAGCCCCACAGTAGTCTAGGTAATCATAAAGGCCCCTATCCCTTTATCCACAACTCTGATTTTTGAAACCCTGACGACATGAACCGTAGAGCCCCTCCCTCAAAGCCCTCCCAAGTTGAACCCATACGGAACCGTATGGAACGGTGTTAAAACACCGAACACGCTTTCAAATCGTCGTAGAACCACTGCCGAAGCATTAGTAGAACCTTCTAGTACCCTTTCTAAATACCCTGCACCCAGAACCAAGCCACCTGTGGGTCGTTGAAGTGCGTCACGGCCTTCACGATCGCTTTGGCGCGCTTCGCGGGGTCTTCGGACTTAAAGATGCCTCAGACGATATCTCTCACTAGCAAAGCTTCAAACTCGCGAAGAGCTAAACCAACCGCGACCGCAGAAGAGGCTCCATTACCAACCAACCCTGATATTAGTAAGCCACGCCCAAACACACCAAACATGAGAAGGTACCTTAGACAAGCCAGATTCGAAGTTGGCAACTGTGACACATGAGGCGATGTTGTCTGACAGAGGAACATCAGTGTCAGTGGAAGCTGACAGCCCGTACCCAGCGAAGTCTGGATTGGGCCACTAACCAGCCCGAGAACTGATGCAGCCCGGGACCCGATTCCGAATCCAACACTGTAGAGTGTACCTTTTTCCTCTCAGGTCCACAAGCCCGGCTCAGCAGCGACTACAACTACCGCTTCTTGCCGAGGTTGCCATAACGGCGTTTGCCTCTCCTCTTTCGTCCCTCCTTGGCTTGCTGACGGGCCCAACGCTCAATCTTTTCGGGATCTGGCTCGTCCCTCAGCCTCTTGAAAGAGAGGTCCCCGTTAATGCGCGGGCGCCAGAAGATGGTTCCATCCTCCATGGCTTGCACCAAGGCCTCTTCATGCATCGCAAAGAGGCTGCGATCCTCGTCCGTCTGATCCGACTGCTCCCAATCCTTGTCATTCTCTTTGAAGAGGAAGTCGAACTCCAAGACCTCCTCAAAGGACTGCCTGCGTTCTCTTCGGGCAGCCCGCTGCTCCTCAGACTCTCCGAGGAAGCCGTCCATGCCTAGACGTATAAACTTTCGGCGGACTGCAGAGACGTCGATCGTCGACGGCAGCTGCTCTTTGCACCGTGTCAGGCGGAAGAGGACCCTGCGGCCCACCGGAGCCGCAAATGCGAGGTGGCCAGCAAGGTTGTTCAACAGCACGCAGATGATGAAACTGACGATGCAAAACCTTCGGCTCCTCCGGGAGACCACAGCAACGGCCCGCGGCATGGCAGCAAGTCCGGAGAGAAAGGAGCTCCAGCTTCGCGCCAACTTGCTCAGAGTGGTTTGGGAATTGGGGTTTGGGAGTTTGACACGGTTCAGGGCGGTGCCAAAAGGCCCTTTTCAGCTCTGGCTAGCAGCTATCTTTAGGTGATGTGGGAGCTTCCTGCTTGAGATTCGGCAGCTTCATCCACCATGGCAGTAGGGTTTAGAGATGCATCAATGGCATTGGGGGGGGCTTGCTCGAACGCATTTTGGATTGTGAAATCTTTCATGCACCAGTTCATGAAGAAGGGCAGATGGCTCAAGCGCTTCAGCCTCCCACGCGTTACAACTGAGGCTGCTTTGGCACGGGCCATAAGTCTAACACACAACCAGGGTGCCGCTGCCCACGAAGACACCGTCCACCCCCAGCTGCATGCAGAGAGCTGCGTCGGCCGGTGTGGCCACGCCACCGGCTGCAAAGTTCACCACTGGGAGCTT